TTAAATTGCAAAAGGTTACACACCCTAGCTGTGAGTAATTATGGACTCTTGATACAGATCTTAACGTTTTCCAGTTTTAACCGCTTTTATTCGCTCCCAATGTTCATTGATGGTTTTAGCTGGGTCTTTTTTTTTTGCAAATAAGTTCCTTTTTAAGGTTGACCAAAGGCGTTCAATCGGATTTAAATCAGGAGACTGGGGTGACCAATTTTCTTCAAACCACATTTTAGTAATTAGTGGTAACGGATTGTATGATGATGTCAGCCTGACCCAAAAAGAGCAAAAGGTGAAAAAGGTTAGTGATAGCATAGCTAAACTACGTATTACTATGAAAAAGCTTTCTGGAGCACAGAGAAGGAAATTGAAAATGATGCTTCAGGAAATCATAGTTAGTCAATCCCACGACACTCCAAAGAAAGATTCAGATTCTCTCTCAATATCTGAGGCAAAAAGGATCAGGTCTCCGGAGGAGTTGACAATTGAGAATAAACCTAAGAAAACAAGAGCTCTCCGTCTTGAAATATACAGTCGATGCAAGTATGACAATGCCAAGCCAGAAGACAAACACGTCGGCGAAATCAGTCTCCAATGAAAGGGAGTCTCAAAACAAGCACCGAAAAACGAGGAAGAAAGGAAAACAGCCGCCATCTTACGCCAAATGCGCCAGGGGGAGACTGCGGGACGACCTCTGCTATGCAGTTTACAATGCCGGTAATCCGACAGGCAAAATTCGGATATACCAGATGGACCACGCAATCTCATCAAAGGGCAAACAACCTATATGTAAAGAACGTGAGCTGTGAGTTCAGCATGGACGTGAGGTTGGCATCTCACCAATGTGTTGCCACTCTGAGGAGTTTTGTGGAAAGTATCCCTCCTCCCTGAGACTGGCAAAGTAGAGGGAGCTTCTGGTGTTCTTAAAGTTCACCGTCTACGTAAAAGGATGAGGCAGTAAACTGGCTAATGAGCGAGTACTGGAAATTCTTGGAAGTCAAAATGCTGAGCTGGCCGTGGATGTCTGAGGGAACTTTATTTGTAATAGGTATTGCTCTGAACTCCATGGCTAGTCTTGCCAAGAACAAAGCTAGGGCTTTGTTATATTCAAAGTTGGGAAGGGAAGCCCGATTGAAAGGGCTGTCAAGGGCACTAAAATATCTAAGACGGTGACCAAAGCATCATTAGCCAATACTGGTAACGTTGGAGGTGGTTTCCCAAATTGGAAAAGTGCCAATTAAAAAGACTGCTAAGCGTACCCGCTACATCGACAATCACTTCAGGCTACCCGGAGGAGTCAAATCAAATAATAGGCAGCTGACTACCAACTTTATAGAAGACAGTCTAATAGATAACCATGATAAGGTTATTCAAATAAAGGTCCATCGGAGGGAGAAGACTATCAACGCTCTATTGGCTGTAATAAACATAGGTAAGATAATCCAAGAACCTTGGAATTAGATTGGCTTTAAGGAAAAGTAAGAAAATAGTGATAGGTTGCGATGCCAGCTACATGGTGGTAGCTTGGGGTAGCGCAACACTAAATACTAAAGGCTTGATCACATTGAACTTAGGTAATAAAACTACCTTTGTCAATAGAATCAGAGATGAAGTATTAGATATAACTACATATGTATATGTTCAGAAGAACTTATAACCGAAATTCAAGATTGGAGATTTTCGGAAAAGCACTCTTTTTCAGACCATCGGTATAAAGATTGAAAATACTTCGGCTACCAACAAAGATTAAGTTTCGGAATAAGTCTACAACGAGACTCCAGGAAACTTTTCTGTGATGGCGTGAAAGACGTATAGAAGATAAAACAAGTAAGAATTCTATATTAGTCTAAAAATGTTCTAGTTTTAATTAAATTTTCAAAGGTCTCGGATTTTTGCTCATAATTCCGTTATTTATGAACGGATTTTGCTGATTTTAAACAGGAAACTTCTCGAAAACATGTCTGACAGAATTATTGAAGATTTTGATCCCGAAGTTATCTGTGGTATTCAGAAAATTGATTTCAACAGACAGGCGGACTCGGAATATGTACACTTTATAGGGTCGGAAGATAATATTGTGGAAATTACAACAGAAGGTGTAAGGTATTATAAAAAGAACGAGCGAACGTACTTAAATACAAACATATATCATAAACATCAAATTACATAATTTTTTGCTCTTGGAAGGGATGGAAGAGGGGTGACCTATACATGTCAATCAAATCTAGTTAGTGCTTGATATCGATTTAATTCTTCTTGAGGTTTTTATTGTTGAGGTGTTTGTTGTAGGGGTGACCAACACAGGTCCATCAAATCTAGCTGACAAGCTAGTGCTCAATGTTGTTTTATTTCTTTTTGAGGTTTTATTTGTTATACTTGTTTAGGAGTTTCTTGTTGGGATGGAGGAGGGGTGACCTTTACATGTCAATCAAATCTAGTTAGTGCTTGATATCGATTTAATTCTTCTTGAGGTTTTTGTTGTACTTGAGCTGTTTGTTATAGGGGTGACCTACACAGGTCCATTAAATCTAGCTGATAAGCTAGAGCTTGATGTTGTTATATTTCTTCTTGAGGTTGTATTTGTTGTACTTGTTTGGGTGTTTGTTGTAGGGCTGGAGCAGGGGTGACCTATACAGGTCCATCTAGCTGATAAGCTAGTGCTTGATGTTGATTTAATTCTTCTTGAGGTTGTATTTGTTGAGGTTTTTGTTGCACTTGTGGAGGTGTTTTAGGTTGTTTTTCAGGTTATTGTTGAGGTACATGATGTTGTTGTTGAGGTTGCTGCCGGTTTCATTTATAATACGTCTTCCATTTCTTAAAAATATATCTTTTTTCGCATTCCCCTCTCGTGCTCCACCCATATTTTTAGGGTAACGGGAGTGGTGATACCACGCATTTATATTATTAAATAAAATCGGTTTTTATTTTAATCGAATTTTGTTTGGCGATGTTCGCCTCACACGCAAAACTAATTATTATATTATATATGGCCTGTTTGCGTACTTTTCAGTAAAAAATATCCATTTCTAAAAAGTACGTGAAAGCTAATTTTCTAAAAATTGCAATTTTCTGTTTATAAAAAAAGATTAGTAATGCCCCTTTAACTGAAATCTGAATTTTATTATCCAAATTATTTGTGTAGATGAGAAGAGCTGAAGAGGCTCTGAACACGGCCTTGAGCTGGGCTCAACCGAGAGGCCTCTATGTTAACCCGGCGAAGATAGAAATATGCCTTTTCACAAGAAAGACAAAAATTTCTTTTATGCTGAACCCTGTTTTCCTGATACCGGTGACCGACAGAATTAAGTACTTAGGTGGAATCCTTGACCGGAAATTAAGATGGACGCATCACATAGAGGAAAGGATTAACAAGGCACATTGGTGCTGGGTGCTATGTAGGAGAATCATAGGCATGAAATGGTCCCTTAGTCCTGCTATTACACATTGGCTTAATAAAAGCGCAATTAGAACAATTCTAGCTTATGCTTCAATAACCTGGTTTAGTTCTTTGAACAAGAAGTGTAATATACAACTTCTACATGCATGCTGCTTGGGTATAAATGGTGTCATGAGTACTACGTCAACCAAAGCTCTGGAAACGTTGCTAGATAATCCACCCATTGAAACATATTTAAGATAGGGGACATGTCATCAATGTATACTCGACACATTAGAAGGATACACACAATCATCGGATGTGCCCGATCGCATACCAGACACAAAATATGTCGGAAACTTTGAAACACAGATTCCAGATAGAATGTCTTGTTCAAGCGGAACATTAGAGCAAATACCCGTGGAAATCCGTTGCTACACGGACGGCTCTAAATTAGGGGCCAAAGCGGGTCTGGGATTCTACATTGAATCACAACACAAGCTTCCAGGCAGAAGTCCGAGCAATAACGGAATCCGTAAATTGGATTGGAATAAGTATGGAGCCCACAGGATTTAACATATTTACCGACAGCCAGGAGGCAATTAGGGCGATATCAGATAAAGTTAAATTTAAGACCGTTTTGGATTATAAAAAAACTGTAACCGAGTACTCTCCCAGAGGTAAGGTTTACATCATATGGATACCTGGACACACGGGAGTAGTTGGTAACGAAAGAGCGAATGTAATTGCTTTAAAGGAAAGGGAGCTAGAGGTAGTTAATCTGAGGAAGAAGTCCGAGAAATAATGGAATGCGTACATTGAATTAGAATAAATATGGCGCCAACAAAAGTTATCATATTTAGCGACTGCCAGAAGGCAATTAGGGCGATATAAGGTGATAAAGTTAAATCTAACACCGAAAATCTTTAACAGAATGCTCTTCCTGAGGTAAGGTTTATTCCATATAGGTATCAGGCCAGTCGGGAGTAGTCGGCAGTGAAATGGCGAATGTATTACCTTTAAAGGGAAGACGAACGCAAAACCATTCGACGCAAATATGGGTGAGAGAATCCCATAAGGAATAACGAAACGGTGGGTAGAACCACAAAGATCATATAGGATGTTCCTAATGAAAGCAGGACGAGAAACCTTCTCAAAATGAGCAAGTCTGAGGTTAGTATGATGCTAAGTATTCTAAGTGAACACACTGGATTACGGTCACAGCTATACAAAATTGGATGTGCTGATTCAGGTTTTTATTTGATATTTTTAACTGGAGATATACAGTGTGCACAATAATTATAGACTCACATCTACAAATCAGCTTAGCCGTTTAGTAATTCTAGCACCTGCTTACCTTTATAAACCATAATAATTTTCTAAGGATTTTCTAAGGATATTTTTAAAATTTTCCAAGTATATCTGCAAATTAGAGTTAATTAATATTTAATGGGTAATAAAACAGGTAAAAAAGTGATTAAGTCTTAGAAAATATGAGGAAAATTTTTGCAGGTATGATCTACTAAAAGATATTTAAAGATGTGAATGTGCGAAAATAATTTAGTTTATTCTCAAGCTTACTGTGATTAAGACTACAATGGAACTCTCAATATTTAAAATATTTTCAGTTTCTTTAATTATATTTAATAGTTTACAAATTTGTTTCAGTGCGCCAAGTAAAAATCAAGAAAGGTATAGCATTTCATTATTATAATAACGAATATTTTCAAATATGTAATATTTTTTCTATTTAGATCTTTAGCTGATAATTATACAGTGCTAACGGATGATGTCAAGTGGTTCTTTCGAGGTGTCAGTAATATTGCCGGTACCGTGGAACAAATGCTGCCAAATGTTACTGCAAACGATGTAAAAACAAGGTAAATATTAGAGAATTTAAAAGAGTAACTTCAATATGAAAATTTGTTTTTTTTATTTATAGAACATTTTCTGAAAACACTAGAGTGACATTCTTAATGGGTCTGCGCCATTTACTGGTGGGTGTTCGAGAAATATCCATGACATTTGAGCAGAGTTTTAAGACAGATCATATCAAGCAGCTGCAACAATTGTAAGGAATAATTTTTACTAAAATTTAAATAGTAATTTTAATAATTAATCTTCTTTTCAGAAAAAACGCTACCAATTTTGTTAACGATATAGTCAGTGCTATGAAAATGTGGTTTAGTCAAATAAGGGCTTTGGTAGTGCATTTGGTACATCTTTATAATCGCTACATACCAGAAGTACTCTTTGGGAAATGTATAGGAAATTATTTAATTACAGCATATCCTGATCGTTCCTACTATGAGTATCCCTTCATAATTTTATCGGAAATGTATACCAGCGTTATGGCAACAACCCCAACCAATAACACAGAATCAGCCACTGAATTACCCACATTCGATGGTGATTTAAATATGGAACAAAATGAAATATCTCATTCCGATGTAGATGATTATAAAACTTCTTATGGTTCAAAAACCGCTCGACAATTAGCCACTCCCTCCACAGAGGCCCCTTCGTATTCGGAAAGCTTTTTCGATTTTAGTTCAGTATTGAATGAAAACAAGGATAAGATAATTGAAAATGCTGTCAACCAACAGTCGTGGCAGATTTGCTTGAAAATGTATACGGCTGAAAGTATTTCACGCTCCCTGAAAAGTTACTTTTTAGGTTTATAAAATTTTGTAAAAAATCTGTGTACTCCAAGTAGTAATATTGAAATTTTTTTGTAAAACTAATGTCTCGGAAATAAATTTTTTTATTAAAAAAATTATGAATATGTTTGGTTTCTTTAATTTCAAAATTGTATACTTGATGTTTTCCGATATTTTCTTGTCGTTGCTTTTTTATTTAAAAATTCAAAAATAATTATTATTTTCGGTCCCTGTTTCTATGTCATCCGTAACCGTAAACGTTTTGAGCTAATCCTTCGTACATCAGCTCTGTTGATAACGGGGGCAATTCGCACCACCCCATCAAATGCTCTCTTTGTCATGATGGGATGGCTATCTATTGATCTAATGGCCCAAGAGATTGCCCTCAACGCGGCTATTAGACTCAACACAATTGGTATGTGGCATATGATTCAGTCAGGTCACTCTACCATTCTCAATTGTCTAGTAGAGATTACTGACAAACCGTCTTTTGATATAAGCTTTTTAGTGAATATCCAACGCGATCCAAATGTGATGGAAACAATACTCCATGACGGATCGTATAAGGCTCAAAATCGAACCATGGTGTAGGCAGTGGCTTTTACATAGCATAATCGGGAACGGAAGTCTCCTTCAAGCTTCCTGACCAATGTAGCGTTCTTCAGGCTGAACTATCAGCCATAAAACGGTCTGCAAACTGGCTCAGGTTTTATCGAATATACGGTGCTAATATTCGAATTTCTGTCGACAGCTAGGCAGCCCTTAAGGTTCTAAGTGGTGTCTACAAGACATCAAATTTAGTCCTAGAAAACCGGGCATCCCTTAACGAGATGGCGAAACATTCCACAATAGGACTGTACTGGATTCCAGGACATCAACAAATTCCTGGTAATACCATCGCGGACTCTCTTGCCAAGTTAGGTTCCTCGCTTGCAAGAGAGGAAACCGACCCTTTTGTCGGTATACCGCTTTCAACCTACAAACGCTCGATACGTGAAAAACTATATGAGCTTGCGCAATGCAGATGGTCGACTGAAGCCACCTGCAGACAGGCAAGGATCATGTGGCCATCTTACAACCCATAGAGATCCCAAGCCCTTTTCTATATTCCGAGAGTTAATCTACGGAACTTAACGGCAGTGGTTACTGGCCACTGGCCTTTCGGACTCAATGCAAGAAGACTGAACTTACCCAGTAATGAATTCTGCAGGAGCTGCCAGGATGGAGAGGAAGAACAGAGCATAATTCACTTCCTCTGCCATTGTCCCGCCCTAGCTGATCACAGAATGGGTCGTTAGGTAGCTATTTCCTGTATGACTTAGCGGATCTATCGGAGGTCAATATCCGAAAGATAGATTCCTATATTCATGCGAAAAACTGGTTCGGTCTAGGAAACCAGAGTGATTAGGTCGAAGTGTACTAATACGCTGACCGTTTTCTTTCGTTTCAGGTATCACAAAGGGATCAAAATACTGGACCCAAGTGTGTCCCCTGCCTACCTAACCTTCTATGTCATCCGAATAGTGGCTGCATAACAAAATCTCTGCTATTGGTATCACTTTTTTGACGTATGTGAGCTATAAATGAGTACAGAAAAATTTAGTCAAATAAATTTGACTAAATTTATCATTGCCTATCGCATCAAAAAATAACGTATCTCTACTTAATTTCAGAAATTGACCTTTTTCATGTTAGAGAAGCAAAGTACTAGTGATATGTTGTATAAATTGTTTCAATTGTTTGGGCCAAGTCTTCCGAATACGGCATTTTATTTTTACTCCATGTTGTACTTTTGTATGTTATTGGGCATATGCTGTTGAAATTGTTTATTTTTTCGCAAAGCAGATCTTCCAAAATCCATGTCTTGTATATGAGCTTTTATTGCTAAAAAGGTAAATTTGTAATTCAAAATAATCAAAAAATTAAAATTAATTATCATATAAAAGGTATTTAAAAGGCGCTGTTAACATGTTATCAAAGCCCCCTATCACAACTCGTTTCTTTATGCTACAACCAAATCCTTATCAAAAGAGTGCATTTTGCTAGGAGGGTAAAAAAACTTCGAATTAAGTGAGTAAATACTTGACCTTGAATTTTAAATGTTGGCATTAAAAAATTTCAAAAGTTTTTCTTGCACCAAATGACTTCATTTGAAACCCGATTTCATAGTTAATATTTTAGTTGTATGTATTTCATTCCTGAACTCTCACTATCCATGGAATTAAGTAATTTTCTCTACACTGAGATTGAGTTTTCTTCGTTTTTAGATTTTTTTTATAAATTATTCTTCATATGCATCAAAGTGACCTTCGATAAGTTTCCTGTAAAACTCAGTCTTTTTGTTGGATTGACCTCAATGCACACACATATAGCTGTTCATTACGATAAACTTCAAAATAATATGGATATTATTGTCTGGCAGCGATAAGTTCACATAAACTATCCAGGTGAAGGGAAAAGACATAACTCTGATATATTCAATAGCACTTCCATATATGTAGCACTTGAAAAATAACTCCAAAAATTCAACCACTTATTTTACTTTCCTGTCTCGAATGTCTTTTGCAAATAATCGATGACCATAAATAAAGTGGGATACATATATAGCTCCAAAAAGACATGATCCATCCTTTCTAATTTCAATAACGTTATAAGTTAGTACTTCCTGACTTCTGAGGTTGTATGGCGAAACAACGTTTATATGGATTTCAATGTTATTCATGCAAAATTTGGAGATGTCACACCCCCTATTGGTCACTCTAAAATTGCAACAGCAGATATTGAGAAAATATCAGTACTTACATCAACTTTCATTGGTAGCTTTCGACATAACTCCTGAAAAAGGATACTTACTGCCGGTCCACACTAGGAAACTTTTTTTGGGAAAATTTTAATTTTGAGTGAGAGAGAAAGAGAAAGAATATCATTCATCTCTCTCGCGGTATGGAGTTTCTCGTACTCGGAAACTTGTTTTGTTTTGCTATTCTTCTCATTCGTACAACAACAAATATATGCAATTAATGCGTAGTTTCTGAAACAAAAGTTTCTATGTGTGAACATTAATGAAAGAGAATTAAGAAAAAGTTTATCAACAAAAGTTTCCTAGTGTGGACCAGGTCTTAGTGCCGGTCTACACAAGGAAACTTTTGATTTTACGTGTGAGAGAAAAAGAAAAGCATATCATGATTGATATATTTCTCTCTCTGTCTCTCACAAACAAAATCAAAAGTTTTCCAAAAAAAGTTTCCGTGTGTAGACCGGCAATTATTCTAAAGAGTTCAATGTTACATGTATGCATTCCTTACAGTGGGAGAAAAGAGGATTCCCACACATATGTACATACATATAAACGTTCATGGTCTTAGTGGTACCATTAATTCCAACTTACCATGTGTGAAAAATAATAAGTGCATCAGAAAATATACACGGTAGAGTATATTTACAACTTCATCTGATTCCGATGACTTCATCTGATTCCGATGACTTCATCTGATTCCGATGACCACTCACCAAATTAACTGATCGTTTTTCATAAAATTTTTTAGACCGATTTTGGTTCATATAAACATGTTTACATCGAATAGCATCGCTGTTATCTCATTTTACCTAAATTTCCGCATGAAATTCAGTAGGATGGTCTAAGTTTCTATAAACGTTTCTGATATCAAATTTCATAAATGTTCACGTATTTTTAAGCCAGAAATGATCGTTAATGTAATTTTCTGAAGGTGACCTTATATGGGGGGTAGGGTCAATTGTGGACTGATCCGCACCAAATTTGGTAGAGAGATCTTAACTCGTATAAATCTTATGTGTATCGCATAAAACTTATTTTATCGCTTTACTCCTATTTTTAAGCCAATAATGAACAATGTCATTTCCGAAGGGGAGCTTATATGGGGATCAATCATACGCCGATTCCCATAAAAGTCAGTAGAAAGGTTTAGGCTCTTAAGAAACCTACTTATGTCGAATTTCATCTGAATACTCGTACTTCTAAGCCAGTAATGAGCGTTCGTGTAACTTTCTGAAGGGACCTTTATGGGGAGTAGGGTCAAGATCTTTGCTTATGTCAAATTTCGTCGCTGTACTCGTATTTTTAAGCCAATAATGAGCGTTAAACTAATTTTCTGAAGGGACCTTATATGGGGGGTAGGTTTAATTATGGACCGATCCACATAGAATTTGGTAGAGAGGTTTTGGCTTGAAAGTAACTTACTTATGTCAAATTACATCACTATAATCGTATTTTTAAGCCAGTAATGAGCGTTAAAGTCACTTTCTGCTGGGGATCTTATTTTGGGGGTAGGGTCAATTATGGACCGAACCACATACAATGTGGTAGAGTGTTTTTGATAGTAAAACACTTACTTATGTCAAACATCATCACTGTACTTGTATTTTGAATCCAGTAATGAGTGTTAAAGTAGTTTTCTGAAGGGACCTTTATGGGGGGTAAGGTCAATTATGGACCGATCCACTTAAAATTCCGTAAAGCGATTTTGGTTCATAAGAGATTTTCTGATGTCAAATTTCATCACTGTACTCGTATTTTTATGCCTGTAATGAGCGTTAAAATAATATTCTGAAGGGGACCTTATATGGGGGGTAGGATCAATTATAGACCGATCCACATAAAATTTTGTGGAAAGGTTTTGGCTCCTAAGATACTTACTTATGTCAAATTTCATCGCTATAGTCGTATTTTTAAGCGGGTAATGAGCATTAAAGTTATTTTTTGAAGGGGACATTATATGGGGGATAGGTTCAATTATGGACCGATCCTCATAAAATTTGGCAGGGAGTTTTTGACTCATATAAAACTTATTTATGTTGAATTTCATCGCTATAGTTACAATTTTTAAACATATATGCCCGTTAAGGACGTTTTTCGGGGATTCACTTGTATGACCTTATATGGGGGGGTAAGGTCAATTGTGGACCGATCCGCACCAAATTTGGTAGAGAGATCTTAACTCGTATAAAAGTTATGTGTATCGAATTTCATCGCTTTACTCGTATTTTTAAGCCAATAATGAACAATGTCATTTTCCGAAGGGGAGCTTATATGGGGATCAATCATACGCCGATTCCCATAAAAGTCAGTAGAGAAAGGTTTTGGCTCATAAGAAACCTACTTATGTCGAATTTCATCTGAATACTCGTACTTCTAAGCCAGTAATGAGCATTCGTGTAATTTTCTGAAGGGACCTTTAGGGGGGGTAGGTCAATTATGGACCGATCCACATAAAATACGGTGGAGAGATTTTGGTTTATAAGAGATTTGCTTATGTCAAATTTCATCGCTGTACTCGTATTTTTAAGCCAGTAATGAGCGTTAAACTAATTTTCTGAAGGGGACCTTATATGGGAGGTAGGTTCAATTATGGACCGATCCACATAGAATTTGGTAGAGAGGTTTTGGCTTGAAAGTAACTTACTTATGTTAAATTACATCACTATAATCGTATTTTTAAGCCAGTAATGAGCGTTAAAGTCACTTTCTGTTGGGGATCTTATATTGGGGGTAGGGTTAATTATGGACCGAACCACATACAATGTGGTAGAGTGTTTTTGATAGTAAAACACTTACTTATGTCAAACATCATCACTGTACTTGTATTTTGAATCCAGTAATGAGTGTTAAAGTAGTTTTCTGAAGGGACCTTTATGGGGGGTAAGGTCAATTATGGACCGATCCACTTAAAATTCGGTAAAGCGATTTTGGTTCATAAGAGATTTTCTGATGTCAAATTTCATCACTGTACTCGTATTTTTAAGCCTGTAATGAGCGTTAAAATAATATTCTGAAGGGGACCTTATATGGGGGGTAGGATCAATTATAGACCGATCCACATAAAATTTTGTGGAAAGGTTTTGGCTCCTAAGATACTTACTTATGTCAAATTTCATCGCTATAGTCGTATTTTTAAGCGGGTAATGAGCATTAAAGTCATTTTTTGAAGGGGACATTATATGGGGGATAGGTTCAATTATGGACCGATCCTCATAAAATTTGGCAGGGAGTTTTTGACTCATATAAAACTTATTTATGTTGAATTTCATCGCTATAGTTACAATTTTTAAACATATATGCCCGTTAAGGACGTTTTTCGGCGATTCACTTGTATAGGGGCTATTGAAATGGGCTAGCCCATTTTCAATACCAAACAAACCTTACCTATAGAGAATATTTCAACCCTCTAGCTCATTCCGTTCGGACTCTATCGTGTTTTCAACAGACAGACGGACGGACATGGCTAGATCGTCTTAGACCCCGAATATATATACTTTTGTGGGTATATGACGAATATTTCGATGTGTTACAAACGGAATGACAAAATCAATATACCCCCGTCTTTTTTGATGGTGGGTATAAAAATTTTGTTTTGAAAATTTTGCAAAAAAATTGCATTAAGTGCAACTTTTCCCTTTTTTACTTCGTATCTAGAGGACTTCCTCTATCCATCGATACCCATAATTTATACCAAAATATTATAGCTTAGTTAATGCCAAGTTTTGTTCAGGGAGACCCCACTGTGCAATGTGTTGGGAAATATTTATATATTAAAGTGTTGAGAAAAATATATATATTAGACCAATATGTTGGGAAATATTTGTCATGAATTAGTTTTAACATAACTCTGTGTGTAACACCAAGAAATATTCATCTAAGACCCAAAAAAGTATGTATATTCCGGGTCCTTATGAAATTCTGAGTCCATTTAGCTGTGTCCGCCTGTCTGTCTGTGTAAAACACGCTCACGTTAAAACTAAGCAAAGGAAATCAACCAAATTATTATCCTAAGCAGTATGGTATTGAAAATGAGCAAAATCGGTTCACAACGTAAAAAGTTATGAGTAAAAATTTCAGGCTACCTCGAATAAAGTTACGTGTTTTTCCTAATTCTTTTGAAGTTTTCTCAGAAACTACCAAAGATATTTCGATGAATTTTGTTACACATTATTTTTTTAAGGCAGTGATCAATTATGTTCCCATAGCCCCCATACAAATGTATATATTTCCGAAAATTAGTTTATCATTAATAACTCCCTTTAATATATCGGTATCAACACAAAATTTTGTATATGCAAATATAATTTGAACAGAAATCATACTATCAACGTAGATCTCAGTCGGTCCTCAATTGGTCATAGCTTCCATATAAGGTCTACTTCCGAAAATCACCTAAACGCACATATTTTATTGATAAACAAATCTATTGTAGTAAAATTCGACTTGATTATTTTTTATAGCATATGTATATGTAAATCATTATACAAAATTTTTTCCTTATCGGTCGATAATTGGTCACAACTCCCATATAAGGATCATTTCCAAAAAATACTTAAATGCACATTTACAATCAATGTTATCGTTATAAAATTCGACATAAATGTGTATTTTGTATATTTAAATCATTCTACGGATTTTTTTTCCGGAAGTATACTCCTGAAAATCACTTAATACCACTTAATTCGTTATTAAATAATTATATCCGGATAAAATTTGAAATTATTCTCTAAAGGGGCAGTTAAAAAGATGTACCGTATTATAAGGGCTTTGGAGACAGGCAGGGCATCGGTTAAGTGTGCCTGGAACAATCGTTCCTGGTAGCAGTTGAGAATACTGCTCCAATCGGCTCTTAACTGTGCGAGTGTTGAACGAGTTTGCATGGGTAATTGCCTCTAGGTGTAATGCTTTCAGTGCGTATATTGTCGACAATCTATCGACGTCAGATTGGATGACGATGGGAATCTTCCATCAAATGATGCATTGCCACCAGGAATTGACTAGACAGAAACACAATATGTTGTTTGACAGACAGCATCCTGGTTTCCTTGTGTACGTTTGTCATCTTGACAGCGCAATTAAGAAGAGAGCAACCAATTGTTTTATATTTCTCCTTGATTGTCCCCTTATCTATGCCCCAGGAGTTGCCAGCGCGTTTTTTTAGGAGTTTATTTCGGGATTTCACTTTATGTTGATGTATGTAGGTGGCGTACGATGAGATTTGAAGGAAGCTGTTGAAGACTACTGGTTTCCTCGTGTACGTTTGCCATCTTGACAGCGCAATTAAGAAGAGAGCAACCAATTGCTTTATATTTCTCCGTGATTGTCTTTTTATCTATGCCCCAGGAGTTGCCAGCGTGTGCTTTTAGGAGTTTATTTCGGGATTTCACTTTACGATGATTTAGGTGGCGTACGAAGAGAATTGTAGGAAGCTGTTAAAGACTACCCCTAAAATTTTCGGGTTCTGAATCGAAGGTATACGTCTGCCTTCGACTAAGATGTTGAGTTCCATCCTTACTTGCTTAGTCCATGAAGTGAATAGTACACGTTTGATTTGGAAGTTGATAACTGTAATTTGCGTTCCTGAAATTGGTCTACGATAGTGGCCAGGTATTGGGATATTTTAGCACTTATGTCGTCAATATTTTCGCCAGATGAAAATACAGTACAATCATCTGCATATGACACCATCGAAACACCTTGAGGTGGTTCAGGAAGCGAGGCAAGATAAATGTTGAAGAGTATAGTTGATAGTACTCCTCCTTGTGGCATGTTCATTTTTATCTTGTGATAGTTCGACTTCCGGCCTCTGAACACAACAAACGCTTTTCTGCCACAGAGATAATTGACAATCCAGCGTTTAACATCGTTGGGTAAAGTGGAGTTCGAGATGTCACTTATCAGCTTGGAATGATCGACCGTAGTTATCAAGTTGATTACTGTCGTGGTATTATGAGATTCCCTGAAGCCATGTTGGTGGTTGGCTAGCAAAAATGCTCTTTCAGGGATGATAATAATAGCGATTCTAAAACCTTTACTACTGGCGATAAAAGAGAAATAGGCGGTATGATTCAATTTCAAATGCAATATGAACCAATTAGCGTAACGAGAGTTCAAGAAGGTGGGTGAGAAATTATATTGCTACTTTACCAAGTTCCTTTAACATTAGCATTGAGATGCCATCAGGACCAAGAAATTTTTAAGCCTCTGATTGGGAGCACCATCGTATCCTAGAAGGTCCTTTAAATCAAGCAACATAATACCATGCCATTGACCAAAATCTAATATTATAAAATTAGTATTTATTTTTCTTGATTTAAATTTTATAATTAAAATTCAACTTTTATTTTCTATAAATAAGTAAGATCTTAAATATAATATAAAAAATAATTATAAGTTTTAAACCTGAAAAAATATAATAAAAGGACTATAAAAATTAACCTAATAAAAATGTTTCACTATAAAAAGGATTGCAAGAAAATAAAATTTAATTTGTGATATAGGAAGAAGGACAATAAGGTATTTAAAGCACTTCAAGTATGGTAAATTCAAAAGTATAATTTAACACAAAAACATGTTTAAATATACAAAATTTTGCCATAACGGAAAACACTTAGAATTATTTAACTTAAAAATATGTTTTTATTAAAAAAAAGGTGACTCCTAAAAGAATAATTAAGACTTTAGAACTAATTTAATAAAAGAAAAATATGTATAAAAGTGAAACATAAATAAATTTTTAATTGTAACAATAATTACGATGACACTTTAATGCGACTAAGATGGGTAAAGTGAGGTACAACCTCGGCTACCCATTCCGGTGAAATCTCGGTTATTTGACGCAAGAAATTACGTTCGGTGAGCACGATTTCAGAGAAAATTATATATTCCGGACGATATTTACCATGAAATACACTAGAAGGATGAATTTTGGCACGTTGACGACCGGTTATGGTCAAATAGAAATTGTCACGCTGTAATTCGGCTATGTTATCGAATAGGCCAACCAGTAAACATTTGCGTACTTGATCGAAATTATTGCCACAACTATTGACTTGTAGAGCCAAACGTTCAACAATTTCCAAAAGTTGGCTGCGTACTTCACGGGCGTACATAAGATTTCGTGTGTTAAGGAAATTGTCATGACACCATAACTGTAAAGTAATAAGGATTTAAGTAAATTTGTTTTTAAAATTGTATAATTATTTCTTATACCTTAATTTTTTCAGTCTTCTGAAAGGCACTGAAAACATTCAGCAGCGTTAGATGATCACCATGTTTGGATTGAAATTTGGCATGAGCCAAAGCGGCTTGTTCACGTTTTTCAGCACTCGAAATGAATACATTTTCACCGGATAGTACCGCCACCAAGCTTAACATCTCTTCCATACAACCAAATTGTGGAGCAGCCAATAACAATTTACTGTACTGAGGATCCAAAGGAAATTGAGCCATTTGCCGACCCAATGGCGTTAGTTCTGGCACAGTGGCAGCATTACGTACAGCACCTAAAGACTCAAGCTTACGATAAGCAGTATCCATGGCTTCGGGTGAAGGTCTATCGAGGAAATCAAAACTTTTACAATCGATACCCAATGCCAATAGGTTTAAAACAGTAGAGCAAATATTGCTACGCAATATTTCCGGTTTTGGCATCTTTTCAAATCCATTCATTTCGTTTTGTGTATAGGTACGATAACATGTACCGGGTGCATCGCGGCCAGCACGACCACAACGTTGCCATGCCTGCGCCTGGGATATGCGAACTACTCTTAGAACATCTAGCCCGGTACTGGGAGTATAAATGCGACGTTTTACAAAACCTGCATCGATGACACAACGTATACCGGGTATGGTGACTGATGTCTCAGCAATATTTGTAGCTAAAACAATTTTACGGGCATTAGCTGGTGCTGGCAAAAAACATTCGAGCTGTTTATTTTGTGGCAATTGAGAATAGAGAGGGAAAACTCTGACACCGGCAATATTGCTGAGATTGGTCTAGAAAAAAAGATAATTTCAATAGATTAGTAAAAATCAATAACTCAATTATAAAGAAAATATATTCTAAATAATATTAATGGAATGAACATTTAATTTTCTAGTTAGTGTGGCCTGTGGTAGGTTAGTGTTCTAGTCTGTTAGCCCTGATGTCGTGGGTTTGATTCCCACTTAAGGCACGGGTAAGGAAGCATGCATTAGGTCCGACGGAGGCTTTTCTTTCAAACTAACCAACTAGGATCTTGTTACGTCGCTTTTAATTATGATAGCCCATCACAACCCGATACAAAGATATATAGCTACTGTATTCTAATTTCCAACAAATAATGAGTAAATTTTTAATTTCAAAACATACCTTGGCAATTTGACGTATTTGTTGAGCCATTGCCTCGATTTCTTCTTGACCAGTTAGGAAAATCAATACATCATGACTAAAAAAAAGAAACGAAATTATTTAATAAAACAATTTTAACAAACGATAACAATTCCACTTACTTAGCTGGTGTATTACGATGAATATCGAATAGTGTTACAAGTGTAGCATGTAAGTAATCTGACTGTGATTCTTTGGCATGCATTACCTTAACAGGATGTGTACGACCTTCCAAGTACATGCCCTTAACACCAAAATAACGACCAAAGTGATCAATATCCATGGTGGCCGAAGTGACTATTACCTTTAGGGGGGTCAAACTGCGCAATCTACGCTGTCTTTGAGCTTCCTTAACAACACCGAAGAGAACATCAGTGCTAACAGTACGTTCGTGAGCCTCATCTAACATTATAACCGTATAGTTGCGCAGTAAACGATCTGCTAAAGCTTCACGCATTAGAAAACCATCAGTCATAAAACGTATACGTGTTTTTGGTGATGTACAATCTTCAAAACGCACCGTATAGCCCACCAATTCACCCAACTGACAGTGCTGCTCTTGAGCTACACGTTTCGCCACTGTTATGGCTGCCACACGACGTGGCTGTGTCACCGCAATCATACCTTTGTTACCAAAACCAGCGCCCAATAAAAACTGTGGTAATTGTGTTGTTTTACCAGAACCTGTCTCACCCATTATCAGCAATATATCAGATTTATGCATCTCTTGTACCAAACGTTTTCGGCAATTTGTCACAGGCAAAGCTTGACGTTGTTGCTCCAATTGTAATTTTGTTGGTGTTAATTTCGTGGGTGTTTGCTGTGTTTGTTGTGCCACACCATTAGTCTTGTTATTGTTCGCTGTCTGACCATTTGTATTGGCCGACTTGAAAATTTTACCAGTACCATTTTCTGCACCTGGACTTTGAAGTTTTCTTTTTAACGGTATTATACCACTGCGCACGTTAGAACCGAATGTTTTTAAGGGCGATTTACTCGGTAGTGTATATTTGGACTCCATTTTTAAAAGGCTGGAGGTTCCTAATTCAGTTTTATTTATGGAAAAATTACTTTAATTGAGAGACATAAACAAACACGTGAACAAGCCAAAGAAAATTTAAATAAAATATATTGACGTTTCACTTGAGTATATTATGTGAGAGAATGTGTGTATGTCAACATCAGCTGGGTGCAACTACCGAACAGGGTGAAACAAATTTAATAAAATTCAGTGTTAGTGATGGTAGTGCAACGATAACTTTGACGTTAGAAATTTATATTTTTTATTTCAAACTATATTTGTAACTGCCAAATAAACATGTTTATAGTTTGGATTCCGAAAAACAGGTTTTGGTGTCGCATAATAAATGATCATAAATATAAACTTTAAATTATTTTCAACATTTTTCTAATATTTTCAATATTTTTTAGCAATTTGATGACAAAAAAGTGATTTTTTGAAAGAATGTTATATGTGGACAAGGGTTTTAGGTTAAAATTTGCGTTATTTATGGAGAATTTCATTGTGATATTACTATTTAGTCCTTGGGGTCAAGTATCGTTCTTGAATCAAGAGAAGAGTATGTGCCAAATTATATTAAATTAAATTGAAAATTGCGTCCTGTAGCCTGCTTAGTATTTTATGGTCTCTAGCAGTATAAAATACATAACCTCATTTTGAGTAAAAACGAATTCACAAGGCCAATGCTGATAACATATAGCAACCAAAACTTGCATTGAAAAGTAAGGGGTTAAAATGCTAAAATTTACTTACGCAAACCCAGCTAGCATTTGGAAGATTGTTGGATGATTAATCACTAAACTGAGTCTTTTTTTACTCCGTTTGATGACATAAAAGTTATCAATAAGTTGCGCGCTTAAAAAATGATTCGAACATGATTCCGATATATAATATAAAACCGATTACTTGAAAACAAAAACAACAAAATTGTATAGGAGTCATAAATTGATCGTCCTGGTGTTTGAAATATGATGGCTTTAAAAACTTATATTGTGACCATATATCAAAGAGTTGGATGAGTTGAAATTGTTTCTTATGTAATTGTTTTTATTTGAAGCCGAAAAACAACAATTGCACTTAAAAATGATTCAAAAATGAGTCGAAACTGACTCTTTTAGAAGAGATGACATACAATTTTGTGTGGCCTAAAATTAGTTAATATAATTCTCATTCCGTTTATAGTTTTAAATATATAAGTAGAATGCATTTTGTTGCGGATATTGTACCATTTTCTCTGGACGTCATTTATGATCAGAAAATGAGCGCATATGTGATTATTTTAATCGTACAGAAGAGTCCTAAATGACTCGAATGTGATCAAAAATTTCAAAAAGTGCTCTTGCTATGGTATTTTTGATATTTGCAAAAATTGCAAAAAGGCATAACCCAAGTATCCATGGTATTAATGAAAAAACAAAGGTAGGGTTTAAGGTATTTGGAATTTGGGTGTATTAAAGATTGTGGCTTAAAAGCGTACATCCGTTACTTCAGAGAAGACCTTATAAGAAAGTGTTGCAGAATCAAACCAAATTGTGTTGTGTAGTTCCTTTCTGAATTATTAGACAACAATATCAAACAAACCAATTAATTCATACAAAAGCTGTTATTAAATAGAAACTATTGTATTAAAATAAAGAAATGCATTTCCCATAAAAAGTTAATTTCATTAAACTAAAAAACATTTAGAGCGGGTTTTTGAGTTGTGAATTAAATGTCAATTAATAATCAGATTAGTTAATCTAATGTTAATTCACTTTGCTGATTTTGTGTACAGTGTTGCCATGCAAAACAACAGAAAAAGTCACTGTTTGCTATCAAAACAATACATGTTTTATAAAAAGAAGAAGACAATTGTAAGTGTAATACAAAAATTAACTAAAATTGATATTAAAAACAAAATAATTTAACCTAATCATTTCTTTTCCAAGCTTAAACTAAACAAACATAAATACTAAGTACTCAAGAATTAATTTTAATTTAATCGCCACTCGTTTACCTAAAGACTGCTCCTTAAATAAGTACATTAGCTTAATTCAATGTTGAAATGCAATTTAATGGAATTAGCGTTTGCGCATTTAACATTAATCGTTAATTTTATCACTAACAAAATTATGGGGAATAATTTTAATCCAAAGAGAGATCACACACATTTTCATAAGTGCGGATGAGTGTTTTTGATACGGGGAACTTTTCTTAAAGTTTTTATAAGAACAAAACGAAAACATTGTTGTTGTTGTTTTCATTGTTCCTGCAATTATTTCCGTTTACAACAAATTCATTCATAAACATAAACAAATGTGCAGACCAGCCACAAAATTCCAAAACAATATAATGAGTACGAAAACTTAAACAAAAATACACATTTTTTTTAGCAGTTTAACACTTCTGCAAAACTCTCAAACAATCAGTTAATAAAGAGAACTCGGACAGTGCGGACGATAAAAAATCGTATGGAAGAATTGTAAATCGGATTCTTTTTAACGAATATAATAAAACGATTTCCTTTGTATGTGTATCTTAAGTCTGTGTGTGTATGTGATTGTTTGTTTTTATTTCTTAAGTAAGAAATTGTTTGGACTTGTTGGACTCATCACCATCGACCGCCATCAACAGAAACAACAATAATAAAATTTATTTTAATTTTGTTTATTTATCTAGTTTTAATGAAATAATTGTGAATATGAATATTTTTAATGTAAAAAGAAAATACGAAAGAATTGCACGATCCCGAAATAATCGAAACTAGTATTCGTATTGAAAATCCGTTACTTAAGTGATAAGATTTAAATACACTCGGTCTTCTTATTGTATACATGCAAATTTTGAAATAAATATTACGGCTAAAATTTGTTAAAAATTCTAATTTTAAATTATAAAAGTGATTGAAAAAAAATCGTGTTTAGTTTCGTCATTTTGGTTTGAATCATTTGAAAAGAAAATATCAATGGCCGTTATGCAGCTGATATCGTTATCTTAAGACAACAATGTTTATTTTATTTGTTGTTACAGAATAAAACGTCATTAATCGAATTGATCGAATATTGTTTACTTGAATATGAAGTGTGCTGTGCTAAAATATAACGATCAAATAAAAATAATAAAAAAAGCAAAAAATAATCAAAAGAAATTAATCAAGCAGTAATAAAAAATTACTATAAGAGGTACTAATATTAAAGTTTGCTATGAAATCGAATAAGTGAAAATTATTAAAAATAATTTCAATAATTTACGAAATATTTTGTTTAATATGAAGAAAAAAGGTTTTTTAAGGGGTAAAGATTTTCATGAAGGCTACCTTTTTGGGGTTCTTAATCTTTATGGTTAGCATTGTCCTTTTGACAGGACAACTCCACTTATCAGATGAAGTCATGTTTAGTCTTAACAGGTCATTAAGTTTAGACCCAAATAACTCACAAAGTTTGGATATGAAGTAATTTCCAAGAAATCCGTTTATTTTAGTGGCAGGGTATTCTCAGAGAAGTATTTTCCTTTTCTCTGTCATTGAATCATTAGTGTAATGTCAGACAGTCGACCCAGCCTTGACAAGTCTTACTTGCATTATCTGACTAATAAGGAAGTGGTAATGTAAGAGTTAAATGAAAGAAATGCCTATATTGAGATCATTTATTGCCCTACAGTCTGATAATATCACAACTTCGGACGAACACCGAAGTTTATTTAAGAAGAAGAATCTGTGTTAATCCTAGTGGTATAATCGCTAGGCAAGTTAACTCAGTAATTCCTGGAGGGAACTCTTAGTTAATAAACTCTATCAAGGTCCGTGTGAGGGATAATATAGTCGGATACGAAAATAAATTACTATTGCTGTGTACATCCATTGGCGGTATACATATTGGGACTAAGTTCCCATTTCATCCCGAACATCTTACGAGTTTTGTAGTAGGCAATTGTTACCTTCCTGACTTTGTTCTGTCTTGCTTGGATTTCCTCTAGGTCTCTGTCTGTGACTGATATACTCTTCGACATTCAGAATAGTAAGAGCTTGTTGAAATGCAAAAGTAGATTCGTTATTGCCTTTAATGTCTAAGAAGGGCCTTAGAGTATACACATTAAATTCGCACAACCTCATGTAGAGCTGTCTCTGTAGATCAACCTTTAAGGTAGGCGTGTTAACTGGTTGACAGCCACAGTGAGCCATCTAGTCGTTACCTAATATGCGAATCGTGGATGAGTTTTAATGCTCGTGTCTTTGCGAATAAAACTATCACGTCCTTAAGAGGGAGGCATATCGTGAATATTCTATGTACTCCTTTACAATGCCTTGGTGACTTAAATGTCCAGAATTATATTCAGATAGACGATATTGTCATTGATTTCCGATAGAGTTCTGCTACTATTAGCAGGTTCCATGACAGCATTTTGGTAGCTAGGTAAATAAGTTTTCAGTATATTCCGTTAAAGATTCTGGCTAAGAGTAGTCTTTCTTTTTAATAAAGGTTGGATTAGATTGGTGCCTCAAAAGAATTTTGCTAAGTAGATGTGTTATCTATGGATTCACAGAAGCTTCTCCATAAGGTTATTTTTGCGACTCTATAGCTTCCTTATATAATGACTTATTATTTTAGCCTGTAATTAAAAGCTCCATAATGGAGGGAGCTTATCTTTGTCTTAGTGAGTGGAAACTTCGAAACATTATTTACAAGTTTCCCCGGTGTGATTGCAATACCGTGATAATCAAATGTACATAATTTGGTACCATGGGAACCGGTAGCTCGTAGGGCAGGGTTTTGGTCTTTGTGCCTGTGTTTAAACCCAAATTCGCGAGAAGAAAATGTCGGTTAAAGACTGATTCAGGGTGAAATCAATAATTCGGGATAAGTTCACTGCTGTTGCCGAAGTCAACAGAAACCCTACAGAGGAGTGGCTGTGGGATTAAGCGTTGGAAATGAAAGGACGAATGTAGGTGTATACGGGTCTTCCCCGCCCGTATACCTAGAGTGAGTGTGTCGGATGTTATTCTCTATGGGTGTGTCGAATGAATAAAAAGTGTACTGGATTGAATGGTGATGGATAAAAGGTATCTTATACAAGAGATACCTTTGAATTTTCCTTCCTTATCCAGGTATGTTCAGGGAAAAATCTATTCATTCCAGATTAACCACAGTGTGTTCTCTGTGAGTAAGAACAAAGTCCTCATCTTATTTGATGGATTCGTGATTTCGTCTACCGAATACATCTACTGTTGCCGACTCAACAGAGGGCTTTACATCTGCGTGGTTATAAACGGATCTGAGTCTAAGAAATGTAAAATCAACTTTCTACCTGAAGGAAATGTCCTAAAGGAGAATTTGACATTAAAGACTTCTATAAAGATTTTATCTCTTAGCATTACATTATTCTTAGAACTGTCAATGAATACTTTTGTTCCACTTTCAAAGAAACGAGAATAAGTATATAAAGAATTCCTTTTTAGGTTTAGCCTTTGATAGAATCACTAATAAGCAAGGTTCGACAAACTGGTAAAATAATTTTGACCTTTAACTTTATCGAGATTTCTCACACCTAATTAGATATCCTAAAAATATATCCGGTCTGTTCTTTAATATACACATGTATCCATTCCCTGAGTTCTTATTCTAAAGTTACCATTGACCTAAGTAGAGACACTTAAAAACCTGATCAATAATTAAAATAGAATTTGTTAAGACCTCTTTTAGTAATTTCTCAATAAAATCGAAATTTGTTTATATCATTTGCGTGTGCAGACAGTTTCATAATCAATGCTATTCACCGTATTTTGTCTGTTGTTTATAAACGGTGGCATACAAAGTATAACAGCTGGAGCACCTGAACATTCAACGGTGCCACTATGTTGCCCCGCCACCAATTGGAAATTGGCGAGAATATCAAGAGGTTTATTTCGTTACGACGACTATACCTGTATTCCACCAAAGGAGGATAGCATTACACAAACTCTGGAAGCAGCAATTGTACCATTTGAAAAAAGTTCACCCGTTTATGGATATGGCATAATGGCACCTAAAGATCACGAGCTTAATTCTACTATACCAAAGTGTGAGGGTAAAAACTTTGTGGAACATATATTAGATAAGGATTTTGAAATTCCTTCATTATCATGTTTAATGGGAATCGGGGAAGATCGTGTGGCAGCTATATCCTGTATAACGGATTACAATACGAAATTACGGGCCTTCAGTTACATACACAAATGCTGTCCCAACAACTATATCTACGATAGCAGTCAACGAAAATGTGTGGAGGCTTCTGCAAATTTTCATTTATATAGAAAATTATTTAAAAACGCTGCCATTTTTAATGCAAATAATCTTGCCTGCCCACGCAATAAAGTTTTGGTTGAATATCAATTAAATGATTTCAAATTTTCCATCGACAATGGTCAATTATTTTTGAGAACTTTAAATAAAAAATTCGATTTTTCGGAATATTGCATTGAAGCGCTTACACCAATTACTGATGGTGGTGATAATCAATCAAACAATCCCATTTTAAGACAAGAACAACAATATTTAATACGAACTTGTGATGATATTCTGCCGGTATGTCGGCGCATGCCATGCATTAGAAGATGCTGCAATGATGGTGAAATGTTTACGAAGGGAAATGCCACCTCCTACTGCAGGCGTGACGAATCCGATACCTATTTTCATAGTTTCGAAAGTCTAGAGATTAGTGGCAATTTTTCAAAACCTTCAGGTAGGTAAATATTAAGAGATGTAATGCTCAGTTTTATTAATATGTATTATTTTTATTGTATATTCTTATATTTTATTTGTATAAATCTTATTGATTCATTCGCTTTAGTATTGTTATTGAAATGATTTAAAATCTATATAAATTTGTGTGTAGAGAAAACATATTTATCTTTAAATACACATACAGAATTGTTTACCTTTTAACACCACAACTACTCACTAAAAACAAATACATATGTATTTAAGTACAAGAACAAGAATTTGTCTAGAAAGTGGTTCTCAATTTTTTTGTAAATATTCTACCCATTTATTATAATATAAATATCCAAAGTTCATCGCTTTTGAAAAAAAAAGAAGCCAAAATGTGTCATAATGTATCTCATACGATACGAATTCAAGAACTAAGACTTAAACTTTTTCAAACGCTTAATTTGTATTTAAAGATTAGTCCAATTACACTTCTAACGATTAGAGGCATAAAACTATCTGATTGGAAATCACTATTAGTTAACACATTTTTATTAATTTTATTTTAAAAAGAGCACATAATCAATTTAGAAATGTAGCGAATTTTTAAAGGGTAGTACAAATAGAGCTGTGTATTTTAAAACTATCGATAACTAATAAAAAATATAACTGTTTATGTAGAATATTATTGAATATTATTCTCTAAACTAATGATTGTTTACGTATTTGATCAGCAGTTCGAGATAGAATCAATACATCCGAAAATTACAGTCATTTCCACTAACGTCTAACCACCTCTCTAATCCTATCATCTCGAATGTAGTTTTTGTAAATAGTCCCCAGTTTAGTGTCAATTTTAGTGCAATAGCGGAGGCAGTCTTTACTTTACTATCCCCAAGTATTCTAGAGAGTACACACTTAACAAATAACTAAAGCGAAATACTTCATTACCATGTATATATGTTGAGCGGATACTCTGTAATTGGATCAACCACATGCTAAGGAACTATCGCGATAGACCACAGGGTGGGATTTTGGCACCTTTACTCTGAGTAACCACGATTAATAGCTTCCTAAGTATTTTAACCGAGAAAGGACTTCGACCTGACGATATCGTAATGCTTCGTAGGGGAAGCTGGTCGCAACCGAGAGGACTCAATGTTCACCCGGCGAAGACAGAAATCTGTCTTTTCACAAAAAAGACAAAAATCTCTACGTAGACTGAACCTTGCTTCCTGGACATGAAGATACCGGTGACAGACATAGTTTAGTACTTAGGGTAATCCTCGACTGGAAATCGGTCTTTTCACAAGAAAGAAAAAAATTCTAAATACATTGAACTCTGTAGCCTACATAGTAAAGTATTTAGGTATAATCCTTGAGAGGAAATTAAAATGAAGGCACCACATAGAAGATAGGATCAACAAGGCACACAAATAGAGCCACAGGCATGAAATGGGGCTTAAGTCTTACTATGAAACATTGACCAATTAGACCAATTCTAACTTATGTATGCTTTAATATATTCTATCCATTGACTTTAGGCGAACTTACCAAAGCGGTTATAGGGCACGTCAGCAATATGTACTGGACACATTGGAAGGCTATACACAAATATCGCTTACCAGACACAGAATATGTCCCAGATAGAATGTCATGGTCAAGCGGAACATTACAGCAAATATCCGTTGCTACACAGATGTTTCTAAATTGGGAGTCAAAGTGCGGCTGGGGTTCTATATTGAAGACCCGGGTACATAAATATACTACTGTTTACCTAATCACAACACTAGCTTCCAGATGTCCGAGCAATAACAGAATGCGTAAATTTGATCAAAATAAATAGGGGACCCACAGAGCTTAACATATCTACCGACACCCAGAGCGATATCATGTGATAAAGGTCAATCTAAGGCGGAAGTTTATTGTAAGAAAGCTTTAAGGGTATACTCTCTCAGAGGTAAATGAGTTGTCGGCAACGAAAGAGTATTTGCTTTAAAGAGAAGAGAGCTTCATTAGCCTGATGAACGCAATACCATTCCATGAAACTAGGGCTGAGAGAAGAGACATTATGGGCTCTAGAAATTATGAAATAGTGGGTAGAACGAGAGCAGCAGCCTTTTAATTTTGATTGGACGCTCAAAATTACGGGTACAGCTATAGAAAATTTGACGTGCTGATTCAGACGAATGTAGAGTATGTAAAGAGGACATTGAAACTCGCTATATATGAACCAATCTTTTGGAATTTAGTAACGCCACTTTTACATGTATCAAATTTATGCCGAAAATATTAAATTGATATCCAATTATATCAACACCAATCAAGAACTCTACAAAATTTCATAAAGTAAATAATAAATAAATCATTAAGTCCTATCTTATCTTTCACAATTAAGTTATTTCTTAACAATAGAATGATTTTCCTAAAACGCCTTATCTGGAGAATTAGAGTTAATTATGGAACCTTCCTCGCAAAATGTTTTTAAAGTGATTTAGGTTCGAATATAACTTGTTTAGGTGAAATTGTTGACCGATATTGCTTCTAATATTAGTTTGAAAACTATTGAATATTATCCTGCTTTTTACGTGTACCGACTCAAAGTATTTAAATAATTTGAACGATATTCATCATAATTATCAAAATCGTTCTTGGAATATTCGCAATAACTTTCAAATTCATAAACACTTTATTGAACACCCTGTATGTTATTAGAAATTTTGTTAAATTCATATTAAAAAGAACACAGAAAAATGTATTGTATATAAACAAAAACAAATATAACAATAAAATAAATATAAACAAATTTATCTATTAGTTAAGAACGTATCATTAGTATTGATTCAAATATTTTTCAATATGTATTTTTAAACTTTATAAGAAATACTACTGTATGTATAAATGTTTGTTTATATGTTTGTATTTTTCACATACATATAAACATATTTCACATGCGTTTGCTACTAATTGTTAAAATCATCATTTATTTACTTTAGAAACGTCATCAAACCAACCGGCTAAATTTTCTTCGTTCGCTTTTCAAAATCATTTCAAATAATTTGATAGCTTTCACGTTGTATTTAAAATAATTTATGACTGTTTATTTATTTGATTATGTTCAAGAGTTAAAATAATAATAAATTCTAATATTTAAAAATACATAAAAGTAAAATGTTTGTCTCGTGGTCGTTACATCACATTAAATATGATTTGCAAAAATTTTAATATGATTTTTATGCGGAAAGCTAATTTTAGTTTGAAAACTATTATTTTATTTATAATTAATACATTCATCTACCAGTTATTGTAGAATACGTTAACTGTAAAATAACACAAATCTTAAAATTTAGGTAGTGATATGGTTCCTTAGGGTATTATTGTGTATATTATATTTTTGCAATTAATTAGATAGATTTATGACTATAGTTTTAATTAATCAATTAATTTAAGTTAATTTATTAACAAAAATTCTAACTCCGGGGATTTTTTGTGTATTATAATACAAAAAAGTAAAGTACTATTTTCTGGATTTGTATAGACATATGTATTTCAATTTAATACAATACAACCTACAAAAATCCTGCGCCTTACAGACCCTATTACCTATAAAGGATACAATTGTGCAGTGGCCGCTTAGGTATTACCCCTACTAAAGTCATTATATTCTTCGTGTCCAGTGCTAATAGTACTCTGGTTGCTTTTGGATTTAATTTCGGTCATAGTGTCCTAGAAATTAAGCCTACTATGCCAGGATAGGTTGGTAAAGTTTTTGAATTTTTCGGAGATTAGTCTATAGTAATAATAGCCCTACTGTGTATAATCAGACTAACACTTACAGGTCCCTTTTGCAGTTAGTTACCAAGATAGAATGTAAAGTGTGGCAATGTAAATCTTTAAGAGCTGTCTGACTATCAACACAAATTGTTAATTCCGACCCCCTTTGCAGATCGCAAAGATCTCTGCCTGGAAAACGTCACAATCATCCGGAAGTCTATGAGCAATTTTACGTTGTCATCAACCAGATAAACTCCGGCACTGTGATGGATTCCATCTTGAATCCACTAGTAAAGAATGCACACCTCTCAAACCGTACTTTGGACCCAATCCACTAGGTATTACTATTAAAGGTGACACTCCGAAATCCAAGGTCGTAACCATATGATTAGAAATACCCTCCGTACTTCCCTCAATACCTGTTAGACCTTCGTACAGTATTCTTTTGTGGCCTACCTTTGGTCTTACTAGAGTTGATTCAAACAGTCTAAATTAGTTCCTAGCCACTACACTCTCAACATATTACCTCTTAGATGGATTTACGCCCAACGCATTTCCATTATCCCAGGTTCATAGTTCAGTTAATGCTCACGGCATGACTTCACAGTTTGTCGAAGAAATTTACCTTAAACCATGTTATCCGAATAAGCAACTATCGTTCTACCTTTTGTTTCAAAAATCCTAATGATAGAATTGAAAGCCATTAACCATAGTATGGGTTCTAACACTCCTCCTTGTGATGTATGATACCATGGATACATCATGTATCCCTGATAACTCGTTTCCGAATCCTATCATCCCCTAAGGTTGAGTTGACAATTCTGCTATCAAGCATCGATACTATCCAACTCACTAAAAAATTCTGAACCACGACTACGATTAGCAACTCCCTAATGTTATTAAATACGTCCTCAATGTCCAAAATTGCGACTAAAGTATATTCCCTATGCTCTAAGCCGTGCTCAATACAACCAACTACCTCTTGTAGCGCACTCTCAACCGACTTAACCTTTAGATAGGCAGGATATAGCGTTGCTAATAAGATGGCTATCTATATTGCTCCTTAGATAACGATCTATCAGAATTTCTAAGGTCTTCAGTGGAAAAGACGATAGGCTGATAGGTCTAAAATCCTTAGGTTTCGATTGGCATACCTTACTGACGTTAGGAATAAAAATTACCCTGACCTCTCACCACCCTGTGGCTATTCCATCAATGTGACTAGATGAATAACTAGAATCCCCAGATCCATGGACTCCC